CTCTACGAATCTGGCTTATACTCGCTGGAATCTAAGCTTTCATTTTAGGGGGAAAAAAAGATAGGTTAACTTTTTGTAGCTCTCTTGGATAGAAAGACATTCCTGACAAAATTTAAATACTGTGCCAGAAAGCGAAGCATATCAGGTTCCAATTAACATTCTCAATTCAAACTCATCTCAATTTTTCTCGGGTTGAAGGAGATTGGGCTATACTGAAGGGTTGTACTTGTAAAGTGATTATGAAATTTTCTCCTGTCATTCAGTTTGGTGTGATATCTCTGGGCAATTTCGGATGTTGCTGCTGTAGCAACAGCGTACTTAGTGCTTGTCACATACAGGAGCATTCTGAAATTGTGAGGGAGGAGCCTTGATTTATAATGTGCTACAAATTGCTCTCAGCACTAGAATACAAATTCAAATATGATAGTTGATACCAATCTGCAATGTATTTTGGAGTAATCCCAATTGCTTATGAAAATCCCTTGATGGTTTGGGGATACATTTTGTCTACCAAACAGTCACTCTGACTGCATCGAGAATTCAGACACAATTTTTAAAATGCAGAAGGGATTTCAGGGCAAATTAGATTTTTCAAACCCCAAGTGTTCAAAATAGAGGCATCTTTGCTTTAAGCACCACGACCCTGTACGACTCTGCAGATAGGGTGTCTCTGAGAAGAAATTCCATTCCTGGTTAATATGACTGGGGATGTCATTTGAGCACAACTTGAAATAATCTGTGCATGTTAGGCATTTTCCTACATGAAGAGAGAACAGTGCATTTCTCATCATTTCCTTTCACGTCTTTATGGCACAAGAGAAGCTAGTATGTGGTATCTCACACACACACACACATACACAAGTAAATCCATTGGTAACTGTATGTACAATAGCCTAAAAAGTGCCAGTGTGGAAACAAGTGTGCAATGTGACTACGGAATCAATAAAGTTATAACATATTTTGATTACTTGATTAGAATCCAACACATCTATAATGCATGACTTGCTTAGAATTTGATAATAAAATCATCATAAACTAATGTCAAGTTCAAGTGCCTGTATCTAACTTGAGGGGAAAGAAGCAGAGAAAAGAACTAGACTAATCAGTACACTGCTACCAGCAGCGAAAGGAGGCATTCTCAACGGGCTTGCCCTGAGCTATTGTCAGCTGAACGGAATAGCCAGCAAGAAGACATGGACCGTTGAAAAAGGGGAGGCAGATTGTTTTTGTGGCGATGAACATGATCCTTGCCCATTGAAAGGCCTGAGAGAGTTGCTTAACACCAGTCCCTAGATCAAGGATAGGCCAGGACAGGGTGACGTGTTCTTCATCACATTATAGACGGGGAGGAGGTCCATAGACACGTCTTACGTTAGAAGTTAAAGCCTTGTATTTGTTTGCTAGGGCTTCCACAAGGTACCATAGACTGGGTAGCTCAAAACAATGAAATTTATTTTTTCACAATTCTAGAGGCTGGAAGTGTCAGATCAAGGTGTCTGCAATGTTGGTTTCTTCTGAGGCTTCTCTTTGGCCTGCAGATGGCCACCTTCTTCTCTATGTCTTCCCATGAGCTTCTCTCTGTGTGTGACTAGTTATCTCCTCTTCTTACATGAACATCAGTCTTATTGATTAGGGCAGCCCTAATGATCTCATCCTAACTTACTAGCCTCTTGAAAGACCCCATCTCCAAATACAGTCACACTCTGAGGTACTCTCGAGTTAGAACTTAAAGATATAAACTTGGGAGAGGATACAATTCAGCCCATAACACGCGTAGATGTTGATGTTACTTATGTTTCATCTCTACTGAGTTTCCTCTTTCCTTATGCTTTTGCCACATTAGCCAAAAGCGTTTTGACCAACTGGATCCTCCCTGGTTGACATAGTAAGAACATGTTAAAGAAGCCAATCAAGGATTTGACACTTCTTGGTTCTAAAATAGGCCTTCTAGTTTTATTTATGCAGTTACCAACTATCTTGCGCTATAAACCTCAGAGGTTTGTGTTGTAGTTCAAGTTTAGCCATGTGACTTGCATTGGTCATTAAAATGTAAATGAGACCAGATGTGGTGGCTCACGCTTGTAATCCCAGCACTTTGGGGGGCCGAGGCGGGCATATCACAAGGTCAAGAGATCAAGACCATCCTGGCCACCCCTGGTTTCCTGGTGAAACCCTGTCTCTACCAAAAATACAAACATTAGCTGGGCGTGGTGGTGCACGCCTGTAGTCCCAGCTACTCGGGAGGCTGAGGCAGGGGAATCACTTGAACCTGGGAGGCGGAGGTTGCAGTGAGCTGAGATCGCACCACTGCACTCCAGCCTGGCAACAGAGCAAGACTGTGTCTAAAAAAAAAAAAAGGTAAAGGAAAGTGAGGTGTGCCACTTCCAAGTAGGAGCATTGAGAGCCATTGCATGGTTCCACCATGTTCTCCTCTCCTTTGGCTATGAAGCCCTAAATTTTCCCAGATTAAGCATATATTTGAGCAAAATCAGCCTTTGTTGTTGTAAACCACCAACATTTTTGGAGTGGTTACCATAGCATGGTTTAGCTGAAGCTGGTGGTACATCCTACATTCTTACACCTACCCCTGAGCCTCCTGTTCATCTGTATTGTTGAAGAATTCATCAGTTACTAGAAACCCCACTAGCATGTCCCAGATAGATCCATGTGCCCACCCGGGGAAGTGCCGTAAGTTCTACTTGCTCAAATAAAACTCTGATTCCTTTTTTTCCTTAATCAGCAATCAGAAAAAAGCAATTGGACAAAACTGACACATAGAAAGGTGTGCAGAAACCTCTTCTGCCCAGGTTGATGTATAACTTTTCTATAGAAACCTCTGATTTTTTTTTTATTTCAATAGGTTTTTGGGGAATAGGTGGTGTTTGGTTACATGGATAAGTTCTTTAGTGGCGATTTCTGAGATTAAGGTGTACTCATCACCTGAGCAGTGTACACTGCACCCAATGTGTGGTCTTTTACCCCTCACCCCCTCCTACTCTTTTCCCCAGGTTCCCAAATTCCACTGTATGCCTTTTTGTCCTCATAACTTAGCTCTCACTTACCAATGAAAACATACGAGATTTGCGAACCTCTGATTTAAAGAGAGATGTATTAATCCAAAGAAAAGACTCTCTAATAATGGGATTTCATGAAAATTGTCTGGGGAACAGGAAGGACATTCCAGCATCTGTAACACCACTTTATGTACTTACAAGTACTCCTCCCTGCCACAGTTAGAAACAAAACATCAACACATATATTCTAGTGATCATATTCAAGACACAATTTGAACTATATATGCCTATAACTGCTTACCGTGTCAGACACTGTGCAAGGCTCTTTGCATACATGATTCCAGGTAATCTCCTCAATGGCTCTATGCAACAGGTGTGACTTCCCCCATACTGCAGATAAGTAAATAACTCTCTGGTTTCACACAACTGGAGAGAGACAGATCCCTGCTCACAACCATTCTGTTATATAACAGTAACACCAATACACCTTTTATTCTCAGCATCTTGGGAAAAATAAAGCATTATGATGGATTTTTAAGTTTTTTCCATCTTACTTTGTGATCTATACTTTAATTTTTCACTGATGTTTATGATAAAGGGGAGTAAATGGAGACAGGTATTTCCCATAAGAATGTCTTAGTAAATTCAAAATCCAAAGTTTATCTCTTCTGCTTCAAATACTTTGAAATCATAGATGAGAAAGAAAACATGACAAAAGAAAAAAGAAAACAACAAAACAGAAAGATGTATCAAGGTTCAAAGCAACTCAAAGGTCCCTGTGGATCAATGACACAGAAACCCAGAGCAATAATGGGAAGGTGGGGGAGATGCTAAAACCACAGCCTATCAGATTCTGGTGGTCATTAAGCTCGCTCCAACAAGGTAATGGGGACTAAAAGTGTTCCATGCCAGATGGACATCTAGAGCTAGGCTCACTGCTTGAAGCCAGAAGCTAGAGGGTGTTTCTCTACTGTCCTAAAAGGAGATTTTTTTTTTTAATGCTACTGAATGAGGACTGAGGCTTCAGTTGTTAAAAAGCCAGGAGCCTAGCAAAGTGGGAGGAAACAAGTTGCCTTCTGGTTCTGTGAACAGATGAGTTATACATTTCTAATACTATCAGAAACACTGTACGATGATAACACCTTGTTCTTAACTAGAGTGCAAGGGCCTGAGTGAAAGCAACTGTATAATCTCTAGGTAGAAAGAAGTGGGTACAAAGGGAGAAAGCAAAGGGAAAAACAATCTCTCCACTTAAGATGAGTTCATAAACCCAAATCCCAAACCACAAAGAAAACAAAATGTTCACAAAGAGAGCCAAAAACAAATAAATTAGTTAAATAAACTCACTTCAAATGAGATGCATGTCACAAAACAGTCTAAGAAAGACTTCAAAATATGTGGTTAGGATGGTCAAAAATATAAATGAGTAACATCATCTAGAAAAATGTAATAACAAATAATAAAACAAGATACTTATGAAAAATAGGAGTTTTAGAATTTAAAAAAATAGAGAGAAATAGAAAAAAAATTAAGAGAATAAATTACTGACTGGACTGGAGAGATTTAGTAAATATGAGCAGTTCTGACATGTATTCAATGGGAGTTCCAGCAAAAGACCATTGAAAAAATGATGGTTGAGAATTTCCCAGAGATGAAGAAAGACATACATCCTCAGACTAAAAGTGTGCTTCAAGTTCTTAGCAGGATAAAGAAGAATAAAATCACAGCCAGTTTGAAAAAAATCTAAAAGCTGCCAAAAATGACAGATTACCTACAAAATAATAGCAATTAGGCTGGTAACAACACTTTCATGAGCAAAAATACAGACCAAAAGATAATAAAATAACATTTTCCAACTGCTCAGGTAAGGAAATAGTAAATCTCAGATTTTATACACAGCTAAACATTTAATTAAGGCAGAGAGGGAAAAATAAAGGCTTTTTTACATGTATAAAAATAAAAGAGTTTACCACTCATAGATGCTTATTAAAAGATTTATTAAAGACGTTGTTCCGCATGAAGGGAAAGGGAAGTCAGCCTGAAGATGGTGACACACAACTCCACCATATCCAATGCCCCAGCCATAGGATAATTCTATTTTCCTATCCCTCTTGAAGTCATGCTTGGCCATATGACTTGCTTTGGCCAAGGAAATGTGAGCAAACATGATGGATAATTCTCTTGCACGGAAGCTTTAAGAGCCAGCGTACCCTCTCCTTTCTGCCTCTGCTGATGCTGGCTGCTCCTTCAGATGGCCTTCAGAATGCAGGAACTGAATCCTAGCCAACCTGGAATGTAAACAAGAAATAAAACTGTATTGTTTCAGCCCCTGCTTTTAAAGTTGTTACCGCAGTATTATGACTAAGAAGGACAATTATGCAAAATTGGAGAGATTACAGAAATTGATAAAATATGCTGGGAAATTAATTAAAAATCAATTAGAGAAATACTAATTTTTAATGAACTGCCAAATCTCTAGGCAATGATAGCACAGAATATGTTCAAAGGAGAATGTAAATGTACTCTGAAAGAAATACTGAATAATCTTAAGCTTTGTTTAAAAATGTATAGATAAAGGCCAGGCGCAGTGGCTCACGCCTGTAATCCCAGCACCTTGGGAGGCCAAGGTGGGTGGATCACTGGAGGTCAGAAGTTTGAGACAGGCCTGGCCAACATGGCAAAACCTCATCTCTACTAAAAACATTAAAATTAGCTGGATGTGGTGGTGCACACCTGTAATCCCAGCTACTCAGGAGCCTGAGGCAGGAGACTCTCTTGAACCTGGGAGGCAGAGGTTACAGTGAGCTGAGATCTTACCACTTGCACTCCAGCCTGGGTGACAAGCCATACCCCATCTCAAAAAATTAATTAATTAATTAAAAATGTATACATAAGTATATGTGTTTAAAATTTAAGATACTCAACAGCAAAATGGAAAAGCAGTCTAGTTTTCAAACCATAGAGTGGGGGAAGGGGAATACTGACAACTCACCCAATTCATGTGAAATTAGAACAAAGGGAGAAGAGGGGGACAAAATGATGATAAACAGAAATCAGAAAAGAATATGGCAGAAATTGGTCCAAATGTAAAAATTACAATAAAATGAAAGGAGAAAAGTCACATATTAAAAGACCAATCAAACTGGATCAAGCCAAATCTAATTACGTTGAATTTTTTAAAATCAACCTATTTGCTGCACTGTCGAAAACATACCTAACACAAAATCACACAAAAAGATATGGACAAAAGACACTAGAGAAATTGTTTTCGACTGAACTGTACTCGCTCCAAAATTCATATGTTGAAGTACCACCCCCAGTACTTCAGAGCGTGACCTATTTGGTGATGGGGTCTGTAAAGAGGTAATGCAGTGAAAAATGAGGTCATTCGGTGGGCCCTAATCCAATATGACTGATGTCCTTATAAAAAGAGGAAATTAGGACACAGAGACACACAAAGGAAAGACCATATGAAGACACAGGGAGACAACAGACATCTGAAAGCCAAGGAGAAGCCTCGGGAGAAATCAACCCCGGTGACTCAGACTTCCAGCCTCCAGGACTGTGAGAAAATAAATTTCTGTTGTGTAAGTCATCCATTCTGTGGTACTTTGTTCCGACATTCCTAGCAAACTAATACACTCATCCAAAAACATGCCAGTGGCAATATGAATGTCAGTCAAAACAGAATTAAAATCTAAAAGAATTAATAACATTATGAGACATCAGCCATGCAAAAGGACCAGTCCCCTAAGACATAAAGCCATTCTCTCTTGAACCTTCTCCAGCCAATTAGTTCCTACCCCTCCAAAAACACATCACTACTTCACATTATCAAAAACTAACAGTCGGTTTCCAGTCTTCGTCTAACACAGCCTTTTGCAGCATTGGGCGGAGTGGATGATACTCTCCTTCTAGGAAACCTTTCTTCACTTTCCTCCTTGACACAGTACTCTTCTCACCTTCTCCCTCGCACTGGCTGCTCTGCCTTTCCCAGCCTTAAATACTAGCTAGAGGTGCTGGGTACAGGCTTCTGATGCTTTCTCTCTCCACCTGAATGCTCAAGACAGAGCAGAGGCTGTGGCTGTCTCCTGAGAACAGCTGCAGTGGTGGTGTGGAGGGGTGTGGGAATAATTGTCCCCTGTGATGCAGGGCAGAGTGAAGGCAGGTCAGGGAGTGGACAGGGGACCAAGCAGACACACAGGCACAAAATCATGCACAGGCATCACAAGTCTGTCCTGCAAAGGGACCTCTTCATTTTCATCCCCATATCTGATTCACCCAGGTCTTTCCCATCTCACTAAATGGCAATCCCATTCACTCAATATCTCAGGCAAAAATTTTAGGAACCACTCTTGATCCCTTTGTTGCTACACTCTCTGACATCCAGTTCATCAGCAAATCCAGTGGGCCAAGTATCCAAAATACTGAATCACCCCACTTCTGACCATCACCTCTATAGTACAAACCACTGCCCCCTCTCCTGCCTGGATGACTCCATTCGCCTCCTCACCGGTCCCCATCTCCCATTTTGTTTCACTATGGTTCATTCTCCACACAGCTGACAAATGAATCCATTCAAAATGAGAGTCATCCCCTGTCACCCTGATCTTGCCATGCTTGAAGCACACTCATGGTGGTCTTTCAACATAACTTCCCCCCTCCTCTGTGCCTTCTTTCCATTGTCTCCACTTGGAATGATCTTCCCCAGACACCCACATGACTCATCTTCTTGCTTTGTCCAGTCCACCACATGGGTGGCCTCCTGAGAGTGCCTTCTCTAGCCAGTCCCGTAGTGTGGCTCCCCATCCAAGCCGACCGTGTCTCCCCTCTCCCTGCTTTATCCTTCTGCACAGTACTGGCTGTGACATCTGATATTAGGTGAAATCTGCTTATTAGAAATCATCTGTCTCCCCAACTAGGATAACAGCTCCCTGAAAGTAGTGTCTTTCTTGGTCTTGTCCACTATGCCTGGAACAGTGCAGGGCACATCATTGGTACTCAGTAAACATTTGTTGATGGAATGAATACTTAGGTCAGTGAGTTTATCATGAAATTGTATGTACCTAATAGCAAGGAGGCACGAAGTCATTCCCTCTTAAACCCCCTGGAATCAGCAAGGCCTTGAAATGTTTAAGCAAAATCTGAGAGAATCCAAGAGAAACTCACAATCTTCAAGTTATATCTTTCTTTATATCAAGTGTGACAGATAAAGCAGACTTTTTAAAATAATAAGAATGTAGCAGATTTAAACAACAAATTAATGTTTGCTCCAAAATATGCATGAAACTCTATATCCCCCAAATAGAGAATATATATCCTTTATATGTGCACATTGATGAAAACTTATGATACACTAAATCAGAAAGGAAGCTCTAACACATTTCAGTGACTCTGTATCATAGATTCTATCCATCATTTCTAGCAAATTTCAATGAATCTATATCAAATATAGACCAATGAATATGGTCTATATTTCATGAATCTAGGCTATATTTTGTGAACATGACAAAATTAAAATCAAAGTCAACAATAAAAATACAGGAAGTTAAGGAATACATATTTGGTAACCAAAAATTGGGCCTCTAACTATGCATGGGTTGAAAGAAAATTAGAACAGAAATTACTGTATTACATTTCAAAACTTGTGCTGTGTATCTAAAGTATTACTTACAGTTAAATGTATGGCCTTCAATGAATTTGCTACAAAACAAAAAAAAATTAAGCATTCAAATCAAGAAATCAGAATAACAACAGAGTACATTATAAATGCATGAGGCAGGAAGCAAAATACAACAAAAGACACTTATGAAATAGAAAGAAAGAATAGGAAGCATCTATAAAATAAAACTTATCTTTGGAATAACAAGATGTTGAGTAATATTAACAAATAAAAAGGACATCACTACATACAGAGGAGGACAAAATCATTAGAAGTACTTTACATAACTTTGTGCCAATTAATGGATAATTTTGTATAAAAATAAGTGTATCAACATTGAAGAAATAGAAAACCTAACTAAATTAATAAACTACACACTGAAAAAAGTAGCAGCCAAATCTCCTCCACTCCCAATTTTTCCCCTCAAAACAAGTGGCACAGTTTTATAGATGAGGCTTAACAAACCTTTAAGAAACCCATCATCCCCATCTTAAAAACTATTTTATAAAAGAGAAAGTGGGAAGACAAGCCAATTAAGTTTATACCCTATACCTAAAGAGAACAAAGACAATAGAAGGAAAGGTAGAAAAACAAAACAAAGCAAAGTAAAACCATACAGGAAAAAATTGATACATTTGGTTCATTAAAATTTAAAGTTTTTCTACATCAAAAGATAGCATAAGCAAAATGAAAGATCCATCCCAGAAAAATAACTTCTAGGAGAAGTTATTTGCATATACAGTCTATATAAAGCAAAGGAATATGTGAAAAACGTATAAAATCAGAAAAAAGGACAAGTTAATGCAACAAATGGACAAAGTATATACTCCCAAGCAATTCACAAAACTATAATAGATAATAAGCTTTTAAAGAAAGTCTCAGTCTCATTAGTAATCAAAGAAATGCAAAGCGAACCAACAATGAGATGACAATTTAATTCCCAACATATTGGCAAATCTAAAAGCCTCATAATACCTCATGTTGAGAAGAATATTGAGAAAGGCTAAGCTCTCATATACGGATGGTGAACCTATAAACTGGTTCCACAACTTTGGAGCACAATATGGCAATAATAAGTAAGGATAGCATGGCTAATAGCCTAAAAAGTCCAATTCTTGGTATATAATTCATATAAATTCTCTGACACGTGACATGCTCAAGAATGATTGTTGCGGCAATTTTTGTTGTAGCAGGGGAAAAAAATCAGAAACAACTTACATGTTCATTAAGCACAAATTGGCTAAATAAATTGTAGTATATTCATACAAAGGACTTTATACAACAATCAAAATAAATGAATTAGAGCTGCAATTATCGACATGGATAACTCTCAGAAACATTAGGTTAAGCAAAAAAAAAAAAAAAAGGCCAGTAATAGAATATATACAATATATTATCAGTATAAGACTGAAAACATACAAAGCAACACAATTTAATGTTTGTATGTGGTGTATATGCAGTGATTCTATTAGTATAAAAACATGCATAAGAATAACAATGTTGGTACTCAAGATAGTGCTAACATCTGGAGAAGAAGAGATGGTTATGTTATCAAGGAGGTGTAATACACAGCAGGCTTTAACTATGTTGATGAATGAACGGATAGATGATTGATTGATAGATAGATAGATAGATAGATAGATAGATAGATAGATAGATAGATAGTATTTTTATTCCCTTAAGAAAAGATCCAAAGCAAATAAGGCAAAATGTTAACATCTGTTAAAGTTCCACGGTATGTAAGTGGGTGTTTGTTACATTACTTATTCTCAATGATTTTTTTTTTCTGTATGTTTGCAGTATTTCATAACAAAAAAATAAAAACAAGGCAGGAGGCAGGAATACAGCGAAAGGAAGGACTAAAAGAAGAGAGGACGGGGGAGCAAATCAGGTTAGAATTATCTGGAAACTGGGGGAAAGAAAACAAATACCAGAAGGTAAAACAAAAAGGACGAGCGAAACAGACAAGAAGGTGAGCAGAAAATGGACAAAAGAAAGCCGCCGCTGGCTAATGTGTGAGGGAATGAAGGCATGCCAATACCATTTCATCCTCTCTTCCACTGCTGATTCCACTAACTCAATGGCTCCCCAGGAGGCAGGGCTGGTGGCAAGAGAATCCAGGGTTGCATTGATCCCACGAACATCACCTCTGCTCTCATTGCTCCCAGCAGCTGGATCTCTATTAGTGCAGAGCACAGGGCGTTGGGGAGAGGAAGCTTTATTTACTTGTCTCCACTTAGGCACAGTCTTGTCTGTGATTTCTGAAATCTAATGATGAGAAAGACATATTAGCACTCCTAAGACTGCTTTTCCCTGACATGGTAAATCGCTCCCTGAGCAACGTCAACTTTAGGAAACTATTGACCATTTAATTCTAGCAAGTAAAGCCATTTCTGCTTTCAGGAGAAATTGATGTGTATTTTGTTCATGCAATATAAAGTGGAACTTACCATCTTTAGTCCCAAACTTTCCCCATCTCTGTCTGTCCCTCTCCCCACTCAGGCACGGAAAGTGGGACGCCATCTTGGCCTCTCCTTCCTTACCCTCCACGTTGTCCTCTCACCTGGGTCCCTACCAACTGCCTGCACAGTTGGTCTCCCTGCTTAAGGCTGCCCCCCTTAAAGACAGTCCCCATTCCACCATCTGATAAAGGTTGTTATAGCTCAGCTCTGATCTTCTTATTCTTTCCTCAGGAAACACAAATGCTGCACCAACGTGTGAATGCAGAGCTCAAACTCTCCACTTCAAGACTGAAAGGAAGCCTGCTATGATCTGGTCCCTCATCTCCTGCAGCTGTTCTGTTCAGCTCATGCGATCATTAGGCGTCCACACTGTGCCCACCAAATGATCATCCTTAAACATTCCCTGCCATTTTCTACCTCTGAACATTTCCTTAGGATGTTCCCTCTACTTTCTCTTTCCCCATCTCCACCTAGGGAAATCCAATCTAGCCTTCAGGAACCAGTTCAAATGCTGTTCACCCCACGGCAGCTTCTTTAAAGCAAGCTCTACCCATCTCAGAACTGACATGTGCACCTCGATACTCTGTTAAAGAAGCAGAGTATTGTTTCCAATTCATTCCTACCTTCCAGTCATATCCAGCACTGTGCACCTTACACAAAACAGGTGCTCAACAATACTCCAATGAATGCATGTAAACATGCATTTATATATGTAATACCTGTAACAACGTGCATTTTATAACAGATTTGATATAAACCTACCTTTAGCCCAAACTTTTGTTACCTAGTAGTCCCTCAATATGTAATTGTGAGAATTAGTGGATGACAGAGTAAACGAAGGGATGGATTTTCCTATAACTCGCTTTGTAATTGAATGAGACCTCATAGGTCACTGTACATCATTGTTGGTTGCTCTGTGTTCTTTCCTGAAGATCCTTAGGAACACACTTCTAGGTTCTGAATGTAACAGATAAACATTAATTCAATTTAATATGGTTCTAAAGGGAAAATACAAATACAGGAAACTGTCTATATTATATAAATGCAATACACTTTACATTGCAACAGACAATGTTAATCACATAATTTGATGTTCTTCTTCTTTTCATTGTCTACTGAACCCTCTTGTTTGAGTTGATTCCTCTGCCTTTATTGAGAATACACTGTTGAGAGCAGTCCCTGATGAATACTAGCCCATTTGATTATTTTTTTAAAATAGCACTCAATCGCCCTTCTTAGCACTAATAGCACTTTTCTCTACAAATGACTGCCACAGGTTATTAGGTCACACTTTCTTGAAATATTCTATCTTTCATTTATAATTTTTAAATTAACCCAATTATTTCTAACAGTGAGTATCTTGAACAGCAAAAAAATATATATATATATTGTTACGTTATTCAATTCATTGTTGAAAGGAGTTGGGGAAGCTTGTGGGAGTGGAAATTGATCATGAAACCAACATATCCTCTGTGCCCTTCACAATACCTCCTCCCAAAGGAGCCGTCACTATGCCAGGACTACCAGGGCCACCAGCACCCTCTTGCTTCTGTACATCTAACTGAGAAATCACCCTGCACAAATGGAACTCAATTTTTTACAACGTCAATCAACTGATATTACTTCCAATGTAATATTTTCACTCACACAGCATTAAAAATATATATGCACTAAACCTTCAGTCAGCTTGAAAAGAAGCTAACAAAATTTCACCTATTTCAATAAGAGTGAGTCAATTTAGGGGCCTTTGTTGTGTCTAGAGGCAAGATTTTTCTCTTGGGTTATTTCAATACCATGAGTGTCAATCAAAGAGCCACACTCTAAAGACCAAGAGAATATCAGATGAGATCCATCACCAGGCTGAATTTTGGCCTGTATTTGTAAATTATTTCCTCAGCTGGGTCATCAATCACAAAGTCATCTGCATGGAGAGGGTACTTCATTATTGTTCTATGGGGCTCCAATTAAGTGGGACATGACAAAGAGTTATCATGTTGACAGCTCATCCAAGTATCAACAATTACCACAACCCATGACCATGAGAGGAGTGTGGTCTGTTTCCCGCTTAGGTGAAGGCTGACTGGAATGAAGTATTTCCTTCTAGCAGCCTTCTGAGCATCCGGCTTCTCACCAAGAAAGTGTCTCCTCATAAAATACTTAAGGCCCCCAATGTAATGTCTCATGTACAATCATGAGTTCGCATCAATTTTAAATTCCTATACACATGCAGATTGACACTAGTGCAAAGACTTTCCATGCAAAAAAAAAGGATAATTTTGTGTTTTTCTTCATTCCTAGAACTCCCAAGAAAACTTAAGCATTGCATCAGATTTTAGGTCCAAGCTCAGAAACGTAGCCATGTTTCAGTATAGTATTTTGTACACTTGATCTGTGTATTTTTATATTTATACAAAAGTGTTTAGTCTCTACCATACCGAAGGAGTTGTACGGCTGCATAGGAATGATAGGTGCTTTTAGCTCTTCAGGGAGAGCAGCATAGTGGCATCTAAGATGCCTTTGATTGACTAAGGTGATTTGATTTTCTCTAATAACTCACAAGAGCTATTAGGAAAATTGGATGGTATTTATAATTCTAATTTGTTTTACTCTGCGACTCTAGGAAACAACATTGTGGTAAATATATTGAAATGTCAGGGTTATCACTTGCCACACAAAGTTTATTTTATTTTTCCCCCACTGAACAAATGCCAGCAGCTTAGCCTGCTGAGCCCAAGCTTATGTGAACTAGCGATCCAGGCAGCCTTTGGCAGTTCCGAGTGGCCATTTGGCCCACCCGAGCTTACGCTGCATAGATTCCCCGGGACGGCCTCCAACTTCAGGGTAGTCAGAGACTTTTCAATGCTGCTGGGGCCCCTGTATCCTCCCGCAGCAGCAGGCTGCCTCCTAAGAAGCTGGCTCCTCTAGCCGTTCCAAGAGGGAAACTTGAATACTGTTTTGGCAGCTTCGCAGCTGCATCCACTCTCTACCCATGGCTAAAGAAACTTTTTTAAAGTGCTAGAAGCAATGCTTAGGAATCTTCGTCCAGAATGACTTTGAGGAAAGCTGTCCTGAAAGTTGGGACTGACTCCTTTGGCGAGCTCTGCTGTGGAGCCAGATGCCATTTTTCAGCAAGGCAAGTTCATACGAGGAACACAGCTCCAAGGACAATGTCCAAGGAAGGACAGCTTAGATGCACCAACAATTTCTTCATCAACAGAACTTCAGTCCTGTGGATCCAAATCCATCTTCCGTGGAACACAGGGATCAGTTTCAGGAATCCTAAGCTGCTATTCTCCATTTTCTCTTCATTCATTAGTAAATCTGACCAGATGACACAATTACAGTATGCCTTTTTCAAACTGCATTATCGTTGGCTTTGTTAGAGACTCATTTTTCATGCCTGTGAGATGCTTATCTTCCAAATAAAGAAAGGAGGGGTGATGAAAAGCGTTTGATCAATCAGCTAAGACAGGCAGGCAAACCAGCATTCCAGGATGCTCTCTCTCATCGGTCAGAGTTCAGCTCTTGCTGCCTCAGTTTCGGGGTCTGAACAAAATAAGGGTTTTAGGATCATCCTGGCCTGAGCTCAGCTGCATGCTAAGGAATGCATTTTTAATATTAATTTGTTTCATTTTGCTTTTGATTTGTAGGGCTTGCTCATTTTGGTTTAATCTTTTTTAATAATTATGCAAAGCATATACGTAGTTCAAAAGTCAATCCTACCAAGCACTGGTCCTGTATTCTCTGTCCTTTTCTTCTTCTAGGAGTAACCATTTTTAATAATTTTTAGTTTATCCTTCTATGACTTAAGTATAAGCAAATATATTTATATGTTTCTATCCCACATCTTTCTTAGATATGAGATAGCTTATCGCATAGTGTTCTGCACTTTGCTGTTTCCATTTACCCAGGAGACCACTCCTCAGCAGTCTGTATAGTTATTCCACATTTCTTTTTACAGCTGCATAGTACTCCTGGAGTGCTATGTGTCAATGTGTCATTGTGCCATAGTTTATTCATTTAAATCCTTGTTGATAGACAGTAGGGTTTTTTTTGTTTGTTTGTTTTGTTTTGTTTTGTTTTTGTCTTTTGAAATTACAAATAGTGCCGCTATAAACAGGCATGTGTATATATGCTTTCGTATTTTTGCCAGTTTATCTTTGACACGGGTTCCTAGAAAGGGGATTGCTAGTCAATGGATAATTATATACACACTTAGCAACCCCTTTCTCGACTTGCTAGTCCATGGATAAGTGTGTATGTAATTCACCTGGCTATTGCCTAGTTCCTTCCATTAGGTTTATACTATTTTTCCTTCCCACAAGCAATGTATGAGAGTGCCTATTTCCTCTCAGGTTAGCCAAGAGAGAATACTTTCAACATTTTGGATTTTTGACAATGTGATGTCAATCTCCAAGGTTCTGGTCTTCAGAACCAGCTCCATATTTCATGTAGGAAAACAATTTTTTTTTTCTAAGTGCTCACCTCAGAAAGCTACTTGGTGATGTTACTATTACCAACTTTGACTCCCTTTCATCAAAAGAGTGCCTTTTCTCTAGGAATGAATGGAAATAAAAGCCCTTCCTATGATTTAGATGACAAAAAATATCATGTGGTCACACAGAAGCCATTAGCAAGGCCTCCTATTCATTCAACAAGGATTTACTAAGTGTCTCCCATGAACCTACTATGTGCTACTAAAGTGATTTTGGACTAAGGTATGGGGTAGAAGAGTGGTAAAGGTCTAGAAAAAGTGTCTACTATGGCAAGATAAACTATTCCATAATAGGTTCCAAATAACCCCAGGCAAGTGTGATATTCAGTCCTCGACTAACCAGCTGTGAATAGCAACGTGATGCTAATTGCCCAACTCTGGTATTTTCTGCTGCCCCATCAAAAAGGAAAATGAAGAAATTTTATATTTGAGAGGTAGGTGAAAGAAAAAGACAGCACAAAAGCCGGATACATAAACACGAGACTTTTCTTTCTACTGGGTAGAAGGCTGATTCAACTGTACTACCATTAACACCCAGTAACAACTTGCACATTGACATTCATCAGTAAATGTTTGTGGGATGTAGGGATCATAATTTTAAAATATCTGCGTACTAGAGGAGAAATATCTAAACCTTCTTTCTCTAAGTCCTATTACTTAAAGAACTTTGCTGATTTTAACTTTCCAGTTTGGAAAGATTTCTTCCCATTCATCACATTCTGAAAATAATAATAACTGACCTTTGTTGAGTGGTTCATTTGTGCCGGGCACACTTCTAAGCCCCATACTTTGTTATCTTATTCAGTGTTCTAAACAACCCTGCTTTGCATGCTTTGATGCAATTATTACCCCATTTTACGGATGGAGCAAGTGAGACACAGAAAGGTTAAGTAACTTATCTACAGTTCAGCTCTTAAGAGTTCCAAGAGTCAGGAAGTAGAATTAACACTCTTGAATTCACTTGTAAACTGAGACCTGCAGAAGAATTCATTTGGGAACTTAGAGTTGCTATACATAGAATGACCTTCCTATTCCTCAGTGAAACTGTCACCACCACGGCCAAAT